TTTCCCACCAATTTCACAGAACCAAATTCGTAGTAAAAGTATTGTTATGTGTTTCTTTAAAGCTATAAGTACACAGTAATACAGGAAGGATCTAAAGAATACAGACTTTTCTCACCACTACACCTATGAATTTTAGGCATCCTTATCAACATTGTGTGCTGATTCAACTGCTCCTAAATAAATGCTATCCCTTACTGTTGCTTTGAACTAAGCTATTTTTCACACACATTTCAAATGTGCTTTACCTAAACAATCATTACAACTTCAAATGAAGAAAAGGAAGGAATAAAATTTCAAGCTCTCATTGATTTAAGACACAGGAAAGTCTTTCGTGATACTTTCAGTGCAAGAGCAGTGATTGGATTAGAAGGCAGTAAATTCTCCCAACTAAATGCAACAGTTGGTAGATACTAAAATGGCATTTGAGAGGTAGTGCTATCAGAACAAAACATACACAACAGAAAAAATGGAGGAAATTACATTAGAGTCTGTGCACACATAAAGTAATCCAACACACTGTCTTCCCCATCTGCTTTTTACAGCAGCAAGTAGTTGAATAGGCAGATCTGTGCTTTGTTACTTTTATCCCATTGTATTGTGTATTTTATTTATTTTGCTGTGTTTCAAAGTTCTGAGTTTGTGAAGACAGGTAACAGCTATGCCAGTAACACTTCCTGACTAAATTTTAGTCCTGTCAAACATCAACAAATTATTACAGTTGGTGGTCCAGACTCCTAAAGCATTAACAAATTATGCTGAATCTGTGCACAATAGCACCTTTCCCTCCATTCCATCTCATTAGTTTCACAACACAGATGAGTTTTTTTTACTACCAATTCACTTATCTAATTTTTTAAAGCACAAACATTACCAACCACCCTTACTCCCACAGCAGATGGGCCTAGAAGACATGACTGGGAATCTCTGGGGTTCTCTGGGGCCAAAACTGGAAGACAGACACCTGAGCAGCCATCAAAAACTGCCTACTTGTAATCAGAAGACTTTGTTTTTGAAAAGGTAAAAACAGATATTGCCTAGAATAATGCCAATAATACATTTTAAATTCAAAAGAACTTCCACAATGCTCAAAGAAATTTTACTTTCTAAAATTTGCCTAGACAGTTCTTAAACAGCAATAAACAAGTAGATCCTGTGCTAGAGCCAAAGGGCTCCTCCAGAGCTTGCACTGTATTGTTTTCTGGGATTCTGCACTAAATACAAATTAAAATACAGGAAAATCAAAGATTAAATGATTCTTCATGTACAACAAACTGTACTACAGAGACAGAAATAAGGAAATTTCTATTACACACTAGATTAGAACAAAATAGTAATCTTTGATCTATCAAACCACTTGCCTTGATGATAAGTTTACTTTCTGGTTTTTGATTTTTTTTTTCCCAAAAAAAAACCCTGTTCCCCCAGTAAGTTTGATTCTGCTTTATTTCAGAACATTTGCCCCTATTTTTAATTCACATCTCAAGTAAACAGGCTTGTTTTCATGATGAGTGCTAACAGCAGTCCCCATTAACACAGTCTTTTACAGGTAAAATACAACTATCTGCTGCCATTCAGTATTACTTATTCATATTTCTTCTATGAATAATGCTTGCCAAATGTTGAAGAACTTCAAAATGCTTTATTATTCTTAAGAGCTTTGTAACCCTCTTAGGAAAAAACCAGAGTGTTTAAAAAATATACATAAAAATATGATGCTCATTTAAGTATCTATTTCTATTTAACAATAACAATATTGGTACTAATTCTTCTAGCAACAGAAGCCCATGTTTATTTAATTACTAATAACTCACAAAACCTAAAGCAGGGTTTTATGTTGATAAGTATCTATGTTATGCTGAAAAAATGGTTAAGAAATGGTGACTCTTACTCACCATAATGGTTTCCACTGGATATTCAGTTATATCTGTGTTGCAGTGTGGAGCATAGGCCTGAAAAGACCCCTGCCAGAAACAAGTCAGGGCATGTCAGAGCTAAGTTGGGACTGCTTAGACATTAAGGCTGTGCTGGCCAAAAAGAAACAATAAGTCAAGTAGAACCGAGACAAGAAAATTTGCAACTAGAGATAGGATGTAATCTGGTGGTGGGATTTAATTATACGATGTTTACAGTTAGGTAAATGGATTAATACTTGAATATAATCAAAGTGATATGCAAGTTTATGTTTAACTACTATGTCTCCTGTGAAATGTAAAACCAATCATGTAACCTTGCTTGGAAAATAGTATAAAAGATGCGTTCAAAATGTGGGTCTTTGGGTACCTGTCTTGGGACAGGAGTCCACAGGGACCCCGGGCCCTGAATAAAGCACCGCATAAACTGACACTCTGTGAGTTTGTGTTCGGATTACGGGCAGCAGTTTTGGCGACCACGAAGGGACTCCGAGGGACGCTGGGGCGGATCCACGAGCTGATCTACTCCACGCCGGCGGCCAGGTGAATTCCTGGGGAGGACATCCACCCGTGACCGACCCCGCGCCCGTCGGACAACCATACGCGGTAAGCCCGGAGGTGCTTTATTCTAATATCGGTGGTAAAAGCCTACCTGTTAGACGGGACTGTGTATACCCGCTGGGCTGGGCGAAAAAGAGGAATTTGGGGAAGCCTAGGCGCTAGCCAGTAAGTTGCAAGCAGAAAACTGCACTGAGCTAGCACTTGTCGAAAGGGGAAAATCGGCAAGATTTGTTGTGGAAAAAGATTGCTAGCTGCAAAGCGCAGCAAAGCTGCGCTGAGCTAGCATCTTGTCGAAAGGGGGAAATCGGCAAGATTGATTGTGGAAAAGGTTGCTAGCGCCGAGCTAGCATTTGCCATAAACAGGGAAATTCGGCAGGAATTGATTGTAGTACCGTATCGTTAGAAGCGGCGAAAAGCGGCGCCGGGTGGAATTCGGTAGGAATTGATTGTGGTTAGTCACGGCGAAAAGCGGCGCCGGGTGGAATTCGGTAGGAATTGATTGTGGTAGCTAGTCGCAGCGAATAGCGGCGCTGAGCCAGCATTTGCCGTAAGCAGCGGGGTTCGGCGAAAATCCGTTTGTGGTCGCGTATAGCGTTGGTCATCGGTGCTACAGAAACCGCGCGGAGCCGGCATTTGCCGTAAAACAGCAGAGCTCGGCAAGATTAGCTGTGAAAACGCCGCAAAGGCTGTGGCAAATTGGCGTTTTTCCGGCCGGCAGGTTGTGAAATCCGGTCTCGTAACTGCGTGTGGTATTTGTAGTTCACGTACGTGTCTCGTGTTGCTGTGGGTATGATGCCGTTTAAAGCCTCTAAAGCGTTATCGTGTTCTGAAATTCCTGACGATTCTCCGCTCGGTTGTATAATAAAGCACTGGAAAGAAGAAAATTTTGGGCAAGGACTGAGTAAGAAACAGTTAATCAATTACTGTAATATTGTGTGGCCCCAGTATGATACTGGGGGGGTTCGATGGCCGAGAAACGGCACGATAACATCAAAAATAATGACTCCTTTAATGCAATACTTGAGAGACAATAATAGGTTGGAGGAAATACCATATCTGGACTTGTTTTACTATTTAAAACGTAAGCCTGGGTGGCTGGAGGAATCTGGGATGCTGGCATTAAAAATATCACAAACTGAATGTGTGAAATGTAAAGAGCAAAAAATGCGGTTTTTAGAACCCGAGGAGGACGTAGCCTTGCTGGTATCCCCAAGTCTTACCCCTACTGCGCCGCCGATGCGTACAGACCCCCCACCCCCACCCCCGGTGCTGGCAGCTCCTTCACCCCCACCCCCTGTGCTTGCAGCTTCTCCACCCGTACCTCCGATGCGTGCAGCCTCTCTACCTGTACCCCCGACACGCGTACTTTCCCCACCCATGCCTCCATTAGAATCATCTACGGACGAAGAAGAAAAAGAGCGCCTTGATAAAACACTGTTAGCGAGAAGAACTCGGAGGGGGGGAAGGGAGTGGGGGAAACACCAGGAACAAAGGAGGGCTGCGTCACCCTCCCCTCCGAGGTTAATGGCTCCTTTGCGAGAGGCGGTCGGGGCGGGGGGAGCGCGGGTGATGGTAAAAGTTCCTTTTTCACCTAATGATTTGTTAATTTGGAAACAGTCAGCGGGAGCATACAGGGAAAACCCTGAGCGCGTAGCACGTGTTGTTAAAATGGTTATAAAAACTCAGAATCCAGATTGGAATGATTTACAGGTTTTGTTGGATACAATTCTGGATTCTACTGAAAAAGAAATGGTATTACGAGTGATGGTTGAAAAAGCCAGAGAACGGATACGCGCTCAGCCAGGTCAGGGGACAGTGAATGATTGGGTACCGCGAGAAGACCCAGAATGGAATCCGAACGCGGCAGACGATTATCATAGGTTGAGATCTTATCAGGAACTGTTAGTAGAAGGAATACGGAGTGGGATTCCGAGGACTTTGAACTGGTCTAAGTTATATTCAGTGCGGCAGGAAAAGGGAGAATCCCCATCTGCCTTTTTGGAAAGGTTAAAGGAAACAGCTCGACAATTCACGGACTTAGATGTAGAAGCTGAATCAGGGAGGTTACAGTTGGCTCTAATTTTCATGGGGCAGTCGCAAGAAGATATTAGGAAAAAGCTGCAAAAGCTGGAAGGTGAAGAAACAAGGAACTTAGAAAAGTTGTTAGAGGTAGCTTGGAAAGTGTATAATAATAGAGAACAAGAATCTGCAAAGAAACAGCGAGCGAACATGTTGGCAATTTTACAAGCTGCAGGAGGCGGAATACAAAGGGGAAGGGGGCGGGGAATTAGAGGAAGAGGGGTTGGTCGCGGTTTTGGTAACCAAACAGGGTTTGGATTTCAAGGAGGACGTGGAAAATTAGGGCTGAACCAGTGTGCGCTGTGCAGAGGACAGGGACATTGGAAAAATGAATGTCCTATGGGTATGGGATTAGGGGTAAATCCATTTGGTGAAAACATGCAGGGTGCAAATACTGGGACACCGCAAGGTGTCGCCCAAGCATTTATGTTGCAGGATTACCAGAGTCAAAGCTGACTAGATCGGGATCTTAAGGTTATCCTGGAGATAGAAGGAGAGCCTATGGAATTCCGCGTGGATACCGGAGCTAGTTTTTCCGCAATGAATACATTAATGGGTCCCTTAAGTAATTCAACTGTCCGTGTCGTGGGTGTATCAGGTCAAACAGAGGAAAGGGCATTCTTGCGTCCACTGGATATTAAATTTAGAGGAAAGCAATTAGATCATCAATTTCTTTACATGCCTAATAGCCCGGAATGTTTATTAGGGAGAGATTTGTTGTCTTCCCTGCAAGCCAAAATTGTGTTTGAAAAGGGTAGGGTCAAATTAGAGATTCCAGAAGAAATGTGGCACAGATATTTACTGTAAATGAAATAGAAACAGAAGCAATTCCTCACGAAATAGAACAAGCAGTGGTCCCTTGGGTGTGGGAGGCTGGAGCTCCAGGATTATCCAAAGCAGCAACCCCAGTAGTAATAGAGCTCAAAGAAGGAGCACAGCCAGTACAGGTAAAACAGTACCCAATCAGTTTAGAAGCAAGAAGAGGGGTAGCACCTTTAATCAAACAGTTTCTAGTTCTTGGAATATTACAAGAATGTGAATCAGAATTTAACACACCTATTTTTCCAGTCAGAAAACCTAACGGAAAATACAGATTGGTACAAGATCTACGGGCGGTCAATTCGTTAACTAAAGACATTTACCCTCTCGTAGCCAATCCCTATACCTTGTTAACATCTGTTTCTGAGAAATTCCAGTGGTTTTCAGTAATAGATCTGAAAGATGCCTTCTTCTGCATCCGATTGGCACCGGAAAGCTGGCACCTTTTTGCATTTGAGTGGCAAGATCCCGACTCTGGAAGGAAAAGACAACTCACCTGGACGCGGCTACCCCAAGGGTTCAAATCCTCGCCTACAATATTTGGTAATCAATTGGCAAAGGAACTCGAATATTGGAAGACAACTCAGGTAAAGGACTCTCCTTTCTCTTACATAATACTGCAATATGTTGATGACATTCTTCTGGGCACTGAACAACAAGAATTATGTTACAAGCTGACTATTGACCTGTTGAACATGTTAGGTCAAGCGGGTTATCGGGTCTCAAAAGAAAAAGCCCAACTAGTTAAACAAAAAGTTATCTACTTAGGCTGTGAAATCTCTCAAGGTGTCAGGCGACTGGGAGCAAACAGAGTACAAGCCATCTGTGCTATCCCAGTCCCACGGAATAATCAAGAATTGAGATCTTTTCTAGGGATGATTGGCTGGTGTCGCCTATGGATTCCTGACTTCGGACTCCTTGCTAGACCACTGTACGAAGCCGTAAAGGAGCCACAGTTAATCTGGAATCCAGCACAGGAAAAGGCGTTCCAAACTCTGAAGAAAGCCTTGCGAGAAACACCTGCCCTGGGACTGCCCGATTTAACTAAAGATTTCCAGCTGTATGTCTGTGAAAGACAACGATTGGCTCTGGGAGTACTTACCCAACGACTGGGACCATGGAAGAGACCCGTCGGGTACTTCTCAAAACAATTGGATACTGTAAGTTGGGGGATGGCCTGGGTGCCTGAGGGCAGTGGCAGCCACAGTGACGCTAATTCAGGAAGCACGTAAACTGACACTGGGAAGGCACATCACAGTGTACGTACCACATATGGTTATTGCTGTTCTGGAGCAGAAAGGGGGGCATTGGCTCTCCTCTAGCAGAATGTTACAATATCAGGCCCTGCTCAGAGAACAGGATGACATTGAATTAAAAGTCACTAACCATCTCAATCCAGCTGAGTTTCTCAGGTCCACACAGGAAGAGGGAGTCCTGGAACATGACTGCATGGAGACTATCGAGCATGTCTATGCAAGTCGGAAGGACTTGAAAGATGAACCGCTGGAAAATCCAGATTGGGAACTGTTCACAGACGGATCGAGTTTTGTGGAAAACGGAACCAGGTATGCTGGGTACGCGGTGGTTACTTCACAGGGGATTGTAGAAGCAAAACCACTGCCCCCAGGTACATCTGCACAGAAAGCTGAAATTTGGGCACTAGTGAGGGCCCTGAATCTGAGTCAAGGAAAAAGGGTGAACATATGGACTGACTCTAAATATGCCTTTGGAGTAGTCCATGTACATGGGGCACTGTGGAAGGAAAGAGGGCTACTTACTTCCCAAGGCTCAGCCATAAAGCACCGAGACGAAATACTACAACTCCTGGAAGTCATACATCAACCAGCAGCCGTAGCAATAATGCATGTGAAAGGACACCGGCCTGATTCAGGACCCGAGTCTCAAGGGAACAGACTGGCAGATCAGACAGCTCGGCGGGTAGCTACAGGAACTTGGACTCAAATGGCTTTGTTACCAACTCGTGATAATCCAGCAACAGTGCACATGGAAGAAAAACCCCATTATACACCAGAGGATGAGAAACTGGCCCAAATGATGGAAGCAAAGAAAAATGTGAAAGGATGGTATATTGCCCCTACTGGACAGGTAATACTGCCAATCAGAATAATGAAGACAGTACTTGAAGTTGAACATGGTAAGTGCCATTGGGGTGCAGAGGCTTTGGTAAAATTTCTAAAACATAAGATTTTCTCAAATCAGATGTTAACACTAGCAAAAAGGGTGAATGCAACCTGCCCGGCCTGCATTAAGAATAACCCTATAGTTAGGAAACAGGTACAAATGGGGAAACTTCAAATTGGGCAACTTCCAGGGGATTATTGGCAAGTAGATTTCTCAGAATTACCAAAAGCTCAAACATACAAGTACTTACTAGTGTACGTGTGTACTTTCTCAGGATGGCCAGAAGCTTTCCCATGTAGAACTAATCAGGCAAAAGAAGTAGTGAAAACCCTCCTAAAAGAAATCATTCCGAGGTTTGGAGTACCGTTAGGATTGTCCTCAGATAGAGGGCCACATTTCATTGCAGGAGTTGTACAGGATTTAGCCACAACATTAGGAATAATATGGAATCTCCACACTCCATGGAGACCACAATCTAGTGGACAGGTAGAGAAAATGAATCAGACCTTGAAAAATCAATTAAAGAAAATTTGTCAAGAAGCAAAAATCCAGTGGCCCCAAGCATTGCCGCTTGCTCTGTTAAGAATTAGAATTAAACCCAGAGAAAGAATCGGAGTGAGCCCATATGAGATCCTATATGGAAAACCATACCATGCAGCAACCTACCAGGGTGATCCTCATGTACTGGGAGACCAAATTGTATTTAACTATATTTTGTCTCTAAATAAGACCCTTGCAGCACTCCGGGGAGCCTTACAGTGGAATCGGCCCCTGCCTCTGGAAAATCCAGTGCATGACATCTCTCCAGGAGACCAGGTCTACCTGAAGAATTGGTCAGCAGAACCACTGAGAGAATCATGGGACGGGCCTCGCCAGGTGTTGATGACAACCTACACAGCAGTCAAGGTCGAAGGCATCGACAACTGGATTCACTACACGAGGGTCAAGAAGGTTCCCAAGCTGTGGTCTGTGGAGCCCATTGCACCGACCAAAATGGTGTTCCGGCCAGTCAAATAAAGACTGTAACACGAGCGATAATATTGTTGTTATTGATAAATACTACTGATGCATTTGTTAAAGTCAGTGTTTCTAATTCCTCTTTCTTAGTACCCGAAGGTACAGCCGTCAATCTGACCTGTTCCTTCTCTGACGACCAGGGAGCTGGATTAGAAGAAGTGAGTGCTAGATGGCGAAAGATGGATCAGGACCACATTATGATGAATGGTGTGACTACAGTATGGAATGTGACACAGCAAAAAGGCTATACCGTCCTGCAGGTACCCAATGTAACCTCTAATGCAAATGGTGTATATTCCTGCATAGTATGGATTCGAATGAGTTTTGATTATGGATATGTCAAAATACAAACACTTAATTTTACACACAATGAAAGCACTACAGTGCAATTACCATCCCCTCACATGCAGTCTGCCAGATGGAATGATCCTACCTCTATTTATGTAAAAACTGGGCGAGTGACCCGACAAACTCATGCATCACAAATCTCGCAGGTCCCACATAGAAAAATCACACAAGAAAATTTAGTAGTTGGATTAATTAGAGATTTTGGGAGAGTTCAAAATGTCTCCAAAATTACTGCATGCCTCCCGATGCCTCAATCAGCCGGAGATCCAATTCCATGGGGAGTAATACCAGTACCAGAAGTCCCTAAAATGTTTAGAAATACTACATGGAATTGTAAATTTGTGACAACTACTTCGACTGATCTAACACTTGCCTGTCTACTAACAAAAGTGAAAACTAAAAACCAATGTAAAGAAATGCCTGGTTTTTGGCAATGGCTAAACAACCCAATTGGTGATCAAATCAAAGGCAACTGTGTAGTGTCACCCTCGGCTGTTATCCTCAATACACCGTGTAAAGCGGTTAAAGTTCCTATCCTGCGAGAAAAACGTGAACAAGTGTGTCAAAATATTACTAGTTCCACTACAATGACAGAATGGCAAACAATTTGGGGGCCGAGCCTCTTAGAAGTTTATAGTTACATTGGACAGGTACAATGGTGCATCCACTGGGTAGGTACCACAAATCAGGATTACTCCTTTTTACATCCGAAACACAAACAGTGGCGAGAAATAGTCTCACCCACAGGACTGTGGAATTGCACTCGCATTTACACATGTGACACTCCCAATAATGACATTAGCTTAGTCCCTGTAAGAATGCTTTTACAATTAGGCTGTGAGTGTCGTGGGTATAATCACTCTATGACAGGTCACAACAATTTACGTGGTCTCGACTGCCTAACTACCACGGTGGCAAGTCCAGGAAATTTAGTCTGGGTAATGGGACATGGACAATGGACCACTCACATGCCCGTAGATGGACCGGCGACACAAATTACCTTGGGTGTTCCTACGCTTTGCCCATACTGGAAATCAGGAAAATTGACCACACTTGACATGCAACCTAGGCAAAAGAGAGATACAGAACGAGACTCCGAAAATTGGCATGACCCGTCAGATGCAGTTAAATTTGGGTGGGCAATGGAGTCTTTGTTCGCACCAATAGCATCATATCGCAATAGAGAAATGCTGTTTAAACTAATGCGACAAACTGAAAGATTAGCTGCAGTTACCAAGAAAGGTTTTCGTGATATGAATGTTCAATTACAAGCAACCACACGCATGACCATACAAAATCGAATGGCATTAGATTTAATTCTATTGAAACAACATGGGGTTTGCGGTTACCTGCACGCACAGGATGAGCACTGCTGTATCCACATCCCAAATGTCACACATGAAATTGAAAATGATATTTCTCAATTAGAACAAATTGAAGGAAACATGCATAAATTACAAAAAGAAGCAGAACATAATTGGATCGGCGAATTATTCAGCTCCCTCGGTCTTCATATGTCAGGATGGCTGTCTTCCATCATTCAATATGTTTTAATGTTTAGCATAATAATTCTTGTTGCTTTAATAGTATATAAGTGTCTCTTAAGAATAATCGCAAAAGAAAGACAACACACTCGGCAAGTTATGATGGCGCTGACTCGTAAAGAAGTCCTTCTTCCGGACGGTGATTCTCCTCCCGAAGAATCATAAGCGACAACAGAAAGATTTGAGCATCCTTGCAATTGAAGATTGAAGAATGCTCAAAAGGGGGGAGTTGTTGCAGTGTGGAGCATAGGCCTGAAAAGACCCCTGCCAGAAACAAGTCAGGGCATGTCAGAGCTAAGTTGGGACTGCTTAGACATTAAGGCTGTGCTGGCCAAAAAGAAACAATAAGTCAAGTAGAACCGAGACAAGAAAATTTGCAACTAGAGATAGGATGTAATCTGGTGGTGGGATTTAATTATACGATGTTTACAGTTAGGTAAATGGATTAATACTTGAATATAATCAAAGTGATATGTAAGTTTATGTTTAACTACTATGTCTCCTGTGAAATGTAAAACTAATCATGTAACCTTGCTTGGAAAATAGTATAAAAGATGCGTTCAAAATGTGGGTCTTTGGGTACCTGTCTTGGGACAGGAGTCCACAGGGACCCCGGGCCCTGAATAAAGCACCGCATAAACTGACACTCTGTGAGTTTGTGTTCGGATTACGGGCAGCATCTGTGTGTATTTTATTTATTTATAGAACATATCAGTATGTACTGGTATTCCAGCTAAAATGCAGACACAGGAGTGTGACATTGGATGGATTTTGCAAAAGAGTCCTAAGGATGAAGAAAAAGTAGCCTCTGTTATACATATGCCAGGTTAAGTGAAGGTAACTGGTTTAGTGCAGGGCTACTTGACAGTCTGTTTTTCACTTATTGCTGGGTCTGCAGTGAAAAATTCCCAATGTCATTTTTGTTAGCAAGGATTGGCAGACAAAGTAGCTGCCATGCATTCACATTCTTCTTTAATTTTGGCATTTAAACCTTTCTCACAGACCATATATTCAGCTGGCCTGGCCTCTCCTCAAGCTTGGGGCCATCATGCAAGTTGGTGATTCATTCAGGGAGATAACTACAAGCAATCACAGAGTGTAAACATTCCCAGCCTCGAACACTTGTGAAAGCACAGGTCCTTTAGAGACCCTTAAAATTATAAGGGAATGCCACAATCAAAAGCCTATTAGTGTTGCACTCAATATTCTTGCAATTTTTTTTTTTTTTTTTTTTTTTTTTTCACCATTCAAAGTGACTCTGCTGGAGTCCAGGTCCTTCTGCAAGAAGGAACAAATGAGGCTCTTTTTACTTCCTACCTTACAGAAAGATGAGCAGTAAGATTCCTGCTGGGCCTTTACCTGCTCTCACTTTATCTCTCCAACTCCATGCGGTTTACTATCAGGTTATTTTTACAGTTTATACCAGAAAAAAGATTTAAAAGTTTTTTACGAAAAAAATTAAGAAAGCTAAGCAGTTTGTGAACAAAAGGTTGGACCATTCCTATAAGACATAACTAATGTTTTTGGAGATTGCAAGTATTTAAGAAATAGGTATGTTTTAATATATCTGTTCCTATCTGCTTAAAGTTAATAAAACTGAAGGAACCAGATGTCTTTGAGATTATTGCAGATTTTCACTGCCAGTAACAATTAAGCCACAATGGGGAACTTATGGGGTAAGAGAAAACAGTAAAATTAAAATTCAAGTGCATATAAAGTAATTATACATTTAAACTGTAATCCACCCATATAATTTTGTAGTCATTGTTTTGCCATATTATTTTTTTTTAAGAAAACACATAGATTTGATGAAAAGAGTTTTAATTAAAAAATCTTGACAAGACATCAAGGCTTAGTCCTCAAAAGAGTATTCTTTAAAAGCTAAATCCTAGGCCAAAAATGTCACTGCAGAAGCCAGAGAAACAAGTATGTAAAGCTCTTAGCATTTTAGGGAGAATCTGATAGCATATGGACAAAACTAAGGGGATTTTTAAAAAGCCCAAAGAAAAGATATGTTGTTTATGAGAGAGAAGCAGTCAACAGTTTTCAGATTCAGAGCCCATTCAAATATTCTGTTTAGAGACTGATGTTTGCTTTGGAAATCAATGAGTGAAATCAATGAGTGAATCAATCAGTGAGAGATTCAGTAATCCCATAACAGCGCACTTGTGTTTCCCACAAAATCATACAGGCACTTTCCACCTGGTGCATGCCTGCTCTGCATTCACAGCCTGAGGTGAGGAGTTAAAAGCAGCACCATTAGGGCTTCTTAATTAACACTTCCCAAATGCTCTGGATCCCTGTCTCCAGGGGCTTAGCTGGGCTCCTACACTACTCCTTCTATTGGAACTTGATGTCCTCAGAGGGTTTTGTCTCTTATGTCAGATGCTGGGAACATGTTAAGAGGCAGGTTTCTTCTATAATACTGGTCTTTCATCAACAGAATTATGCTGCCTGTTACCGATATAGAAAAAAGAGTAATATGGAGAGTCAATAAAGCCTTCTATAAATCCAGCATTTTGAGGATCATAAAGCCATATAGCACTTCCATCAGGAATCTCCAGTACTTTTTTTAAGAAAAGAGATAATTTAGCTAATTTAGTTACAGTCTACAGGTACAGGAATTGAAATAACCATATTTCACTTTAGCATACCATTTTGGGTATTATTATTAGAAGGAAAATTGTCTTAGGAATAGCTCTTAAATAAATTTAAAGTTCACAAAATAAGCTTCAATGATATTCCTAGAAGAATTTCTGAACTACTTAAAACAAATCCCCCAATGGCCACTATCACTAAATGTATAAAGAACAATAAATAAAGTGATATTACTTGAATTAAAACCCAGTACATCAATACAAACCAAAACCAGTTCTTCACAAACGTTCTTTGGTATATTCTCCTGTTTCTGCCTTCATAACACACTGATTAACATAGTAACTATTTTTTTATTTCTGATTAAAACAATTCATACTTCTGAATTTGTACAAACCTTTGGAAAGCTTTAAACAAATGAGGCTCACATGAGCAACAGTATTTTTTGCAGTGATAATAATTGCTACTGTCATTTAAACAAATCAGGCTCTATTAAACTGTTACAAAAGAGAATCTTTTTCCCATTTAACTTTTTGCTCGAGGTATAAGCAAGTTTATTTCTTAGCCAGATTTTCTGAGGAATGGAGTTTATGGAAACTCCATCACTTCAATGACTTGTAAATACACTTGCAATTTTCCATTAAATGCAATGGACATGTCAAAATCCCCAGATATTGGAAGTGTTTATAATCATCTTTATGTGTTCAGGAAGAGAAAACTCTGCAGTTCACAGTGATAGCAAGGAAAGTTAAAAAGCAAACTTACTCTCCAAGAGTTGCAATGAGTTTAGTTTTCAGACATCAGTTCTACCTTAAGGAATAACTTGCTTTTTTTGAAACTTTCTGACTGACCCTAAAAGTTTTCATCACCAGATGAGGTGAGAAGCAGTGACATCGCATCTTCTACCGCTTGGCCAGCAACTGAAATAAAACCTTCTTTACCAACTCCAGGTGTTATCTGGAAACAAAAAGCATTCTGTTTGGCTACCTGAGCAGTACTCATGTTTTCAGCTCAGTCCTCAAATGGCAGATTTCTGGTCCTAATTGAATGTGAAACATCAAAATTTCCCTGTAAAGCTACATGCTGACTGAGTGCAAAGGTGAACTAAATGAACTGTCACTTCTGCTAAGCTGCCCAGATCAAAATTTCACATCCACCATCAGGAGCTTAGACCGCAACCACCACATGTTTTCTGGATAACCAGAGGATTTTTGCCTCCAAAACTCCTTATCCACCCCCATCCATGAGTATTAAATGTGTGTTCAGTGTTATTTCATAGGAAGGTTTGCCCTCTCCACCTTTGCAAATGGCCCAAATTAATACCCAAACAGGAGAGTAGCACTGATATTTGATGTAATTTCATCACAAAGAAGAAAATCCATGCTCAGTTGAATCAGGCATTCAGGGACCTACCCAATTCATCACTGGGAAAACATGACAGTGTATTTCATAAACAGCTGGGTATACTCTTCATCAAAGAATTTCTTTACTATTTCTTTTAAGAATATAACTGAAGGACTCATTTTTCTTCAAACTCATCTTTGAGAAGAGTGAACAAACGCTGCCACAGACTGTAGGAACAAGAATTCCTCCAGTTTGCCCTCAAACTGTCAAAAGTCAGAAATACATGCTCTTATATAGGTACACACTATTAGCACAAACATAAAATAGGAAAATGAAGACAAAACATAGGAACTGATAAAGCAGCTTCTTAAATGTACTTTGCAGTGCATGCTGATTCATGGTTTACTAGAGAAGATGTACAGTTCACATTGGCCTCTCAGGATCTAGATATCTGACCCTAAAAATTATTATAATTCTAATTAAAATACTTGCTGTCAATCTTCTTTGCTGTAGAGTGCAGCCATAACTCAGAGAAGACAGCAAAGTTACATCCAGCATTGTTCATTTTCACAAAAGAAAAGATTGCCCCAAGTATCCAAAATGTCTTTGGAAACTGAATTTATTAACCATAATGAGATTTTCAAAGAGTTGTTTCCATTTCAACCAGTAAGGAAATGAACTGAGAGAGAACAGTTCCAGCTGTGGGCATAATTAGGCCTGTAAGAATCACACTTTTTATAACATTCCCATATAAGGCCTTACACTCTAATAAAGACTGAAAATGTATTACCACTTAGTTTCAGAAAACTCCACCTCACTTCAAAGCTGCCTTCTAGAGCTATCACTATAAATGACTAATGATGTTCAGAAATTTCTGCTGACTTCTATTAATTGCCCAAGAGTACCTGTGGTGGCAGCTCTGCCTTTGGAGGTTTGGGATAAGGTATTTTTAACCCTACATTGAGACAAACTGCACCCTGGGGTAAAGTTGTCCACACTAGTTTGTGTTCTTAAGTAGCCTGGCATAGCAATAGAGAAAGTCAGGCATTGACTTCAAACTCTTAAGAGGTTTGCCTGTGCAAGCACCAGTTCTAACAGCTAACCAATATTTAATTAATAAATAAACATACAGATCATCTATAAAA